AGTACTGGCTGTCTCAATTCTCATAGCCCTATTTTGCCTCAGCTATTCCGTCATCGCAAATCTTGTATTTTATGTGCTTCTAAGCTATTCTGCTGTCTCGTGTCATACAGTGCCCAAAGTATTCCGCTGTTGAAAAAGTGCAAACAGAGTGTCATAGTTTTGTGTTTGGTTCTATTGGAGTGCCTACGGGTTTGCATTCTTACATTCCAAGTTGTGACAATATAGGGTTGATATACTGGCATTGAGATAGCAAGATGGTTTTTATGTGTGGCCTTGAACTTAATGTCAACATATATTGCAACAGTGACTATAGAGTTGCCATTTTCCTTGTGAAAAATAGCGTGATCTGACTCACATTGCTTGAAGCTGAGATGTTCAAATTCTGATCAAATTTTCTTGTACCATGCTTGTCCAGCTTGTTTTAGCCCGTAGATTGACTGCTTTAGTTTCCAGACTTTGGCCTTAGATGTAGCAAATCCTGGGGGACATTCCATAAAGACATCTTTGTCAAGATCCCCATTTAAGTAGGCTGCCTTTACATCCATTTGATGTATCTCCAAGTTTTGCTTTTCTGCTATGGCAAGTAAGGTTCAAATTGAGGCAAATTTTGTTACAGGAGCAAAAGTTTTGTTATAGTCTATGCTTTCTACTTGTGTGAAGCCTTTAGCTACAACTCTTGCCTTGTAATTCTGTACTGAGTTGTCTGGTCCTCTTTTGATGCGGTATACCCATTTTAAACTGATAACTTTTTGTCCTCGCGATCTTTCCACTTCATTGTAAAGGTTGACTTTGTTGAAAGCAGCCAGTTCTTCTAGCATTGCAGCCTGCCAGAAAATTGTGTCAGGACTGTTTTCTGCTTGGTTGTACGTCGTGGGTTCAGTGTTTGCATTAGACACTCTGTATGCATGTTCATCATGTGGTGAGTTTATCTTCTTACACTCACTTTATACTTCGCTGATACTGCCTCACCTGTTGCTCTCTGCCTCATTTTGCTCGACTTCCCTGTACTCCTTCCTCTCCAACCTTTTTGGTTTGTATGCATTCACAAAGTAGCATTGGTCGTTGTCCGGCACTGGGCCTCTTTAAATAAGGGATGAGCATTGGATCACTAGGGGAGAAATTGGAAGAGGATAAGGGACTGGTGGTCCTTGGGATGTGGGACAGAGTCCTGTTGGGAGGCATTTGGCTCTGACTGGAGTTTTTGGATTGACTGCAGGTGTGTGGCCTTTTGCTGATTGGTTAGCGGTTTCAGGATTGACTGCAATATTGTAGACATTTGGTCTGTGGAGGTGAGCTTTGTACTTGCTTCTTTTGGTTCTATAGCGGGTCTTACATGGATTTTGGTTTTGGTTTCCCTGTCACTAGATAGGCTTTCAGTGTCGGAGAGGATGGAAATGGATTCAATTTCTGGGACTGGATGAGTCTTTGTGCAGGTGTTATGATACACAATTTTTGGAACTTTAATTTTCATTCTCCTCTTTAACTTTCTCATGTAGTTTTCACACACTGTGCCATGTGGCACTTTCCATTTTGTTCAAAATCCACTTTCTCACGCTGTGCTGTTTATCTTTATTCTTAGTTACAAAGTCTCTCACGCAGTGGAGCTGATCACACAGGCTGTGCTCTATGACATCATCAGCCACTGCTCCCATCAACTGTATAGTACACATATACAAACAACCTATAGTAGTATATATACCCCAATAGATCAAGGAGACTCCTCAGCAAGTCCTCCTATTGTTTACTCACAACTAACTCGGTCCTATCCTAAGGGTAACCACTCCCCTCACTACCTTTATAGCTTTGTCTGAGTTGTGCACCAGAGTAACAAACTCTTGGTTGTTACAGCAGGTGAGTCATTTGGTTTTTGACATTTGGACTTTGATTGCCTTGACTCCTGCTTTACAGTACGACACAACTATGACCTGAGGTGTCTTTCTCATCATATACAACATCTCTGGACTCTATGAGGCAACCAGACCCTTTGCATATCCAAGGTAGGTGCATTCTAGTGTTTTTGTATTGAGTTTCCCTCATTTTTCATCAGGTATGTGAATAAACACTTTACATCCAAATATTTGCAAATAGGATATTGATGGCTTGTTTCCAGAGTATAATTTGTGAGGGGTCAAGTTCTCTTGCAATGTGCGTGTGGGAATATGGTTTATTATGTGTGCTGAGTGCAGTACTGCATATTCCAAGTATGATTTTGGTAGATTAGATTCTTCTGTTATACTGCAACCCATTTCCATGATGGTTCGGTTCATACATTCAGCAATGCCATTTTCTTGGAGAGTGTAAGCATTAGTCTTTTTGTGATGTATGCATTTTGACTTTAGGTAAGTTTCAAAGATTTTTGACACATTTTCCCCCCTCCATCACTCCTGAGGAAATTGCCACGCTGCTGGTTTCACATTCAGCTCTTTCTAGGTAGCCTTTTGTGCTAGCAAAAGTCTCGTCCTTTATTGTTAGGAGCTTCACTACCAGTTTATGCAAGTGTCCATCTATGGATGTGATGAAATTTTTTTGTCCTGAGCATGTGGATACTGACATGGAACCACAGATATTTTAGTCAGTTCTGTGCAGAACGCGGGGATTTTCCACTTCAGACTTGAATGTAATGATATTTTGGGATTTTTTGCCTGCTAGGCAGGATGGACATTGGTATCTTTTGATATCCTCTTCCCCAATGATCTCTAAATCTTTGACCATCCCGTTTTTTGACAGTTTTTTCAGAGAATCTAGATGGATGTGGCCTAGTCTGTTATGCCACATTCTAAGGGAGGCTGGAAAAGTAGTCAACATTGCTGACAGGGAAAATAGGTTCTCTATTTCTCGCATATCCAAAGGGATATGCCACATAGGCTTGTTCTGGTATGTAGGGTGTTGCCTCTAGGATACATAGGTTTTGGTGTTTGTGAGCTAATGCGGTGGTTTTCCCTTTTAGCTGGATTCAACAGGAGTTGTTTTTGAAGGTTACGCTGTAGCTTATATTCAATAGCCTTAAGACTGACAGTAGATTGCTGTTTAGCTCTGGCACAAAGTACATGTCCAGCAAGATTGTTCTTTGAGTAGCCTGTTTGCCAACAGTTATGTCTAACCCAATGCATCAGGAAAAACTCTTTTGCTGTGTAGCGCTATATAGCCACCACATGTATATATGTATGCTTTTATAGCAACTATAGCCCTATAAATGCAATTATAGCGCTATACAAATATTGTTATAGTAATTATAGCCCTATCAATGCAATTATAGCCTTTATGGCACAAAATTTAGCTAAAAACAAAACAATAATATTCATAATTTGAATTTACCATAGTGTCTGATAAGTGTATTTACTACTAAAATTGTTGAGATAAAATTTTGTACAAACATCCAAAACATTACTGTGAGTCCAATTGAGTGGACAAGTATCTCTATTTCCCCCAAAGACTGGAATCAAATGACAAACCTGTCTAATTGCAGAAAGGGGTATAATATCACCAGGCAGGTAGCCAGAAGCATTAGGCCCAGGTTTGGTAACAGAGTACATCATATGGTTGTCTTTAGCTGTTGGCCTTAGATAATTAAACCATTTAATATAAGCCAAATGATCTTTGGGCCAGTTAGAAGGGGCACTATGTGTGCCATATAAAGTTGTAGGTAACTTGAAGATCACTCTAAGACATCCAATTCTTCTGCCTGGTACAACTTTTAAACAGATAGTAGATAGAACTTTATATTATAGAACTTACCTGTTAAACCTGTTAATTCACAGTCATTAGAGTTCATCACTATAATAGTATCAAACCTAGGATGCTGTTCACCAACACTTGAGGGTTTTGCCTTTACAGCATCCATTTGGTCATTAAACAAGTCCACATCATTTCCAAGAGTCTCAAGGGAGAATTTGAATGAGTGGAAAACATCAAGGTTTTGAAATGGAAGAGGATAAGATCTCGTTTGTGCTCTGGAATTGGGCTGTTGTAATTTTGAATTAAGATAGATTTTGAGTATATCCTCAAAGCCCGGGCAGGAGTGCTTCTCCATGATAGATATAAGTCATTGTTGGGATTTGCTTGGATTCTTTGTAATAATGATATGACAATCCTGAGACTTGGCACAAAGGAAAACATCTTCATCGTCTTTTTCCATGCTCATTTTAAGATAACTCTCAAAAGCAAATATTTTTTCCCTACACAGCAGCCAGGTGATCATTTGAGGAGCTTTATTCCTCTTATTGGAGGCCCTCCATCCATCTTTAGCAAAGTCTATATGAAATCTTTCAAACATCTCCATATTGTAGTTGTTGGTGGTGCTAAACCATGTGATAAACTCCTAGTAGTGTAAGAGGGAATGAAATTTAGGTATGTTGAAATGGTCCATGACTCCCGGACAAATAAGGATATCTTTGTGTTGGTGAAAAATATTAACTGGTGGAGGACATCAGGAGTGATTGCAATATGGGTGTTACAGTGAGGAAACCCAGTCCAAAAAGGCTTGTAGACGGATCCAGATACTAGTTGCTCCTTGCACCTCTCTTGAAACTGATAGAATGGATGTATATCTTCCTTAGCCTTGTTGATTACTGACTCTGTCCATTAATCAGTATGTGGCTCTCCTGCAGTAGAGACTAAAAGCTCCTCTGGAGGTCGTTTGCATTTGGGGCAGGTACCATATTTTGAGCATGTCACCAGATACTGCTCTGGATAATCGGCCACATAGCAGGCTAGCACAGGGTATACTCTTCTCACTGCTCCATCTCCTCCTACCACCTCTATTCCATCCCCCCCAGCTTTTTTTAATGGGTCCAGATAATCTTCATGGACTCATGAAATAGTCTCTGCACTCTGTATGATTTTTCTCTCAAAGTGAGTTGCATGCCTATGATTTTGCTTACAGACAAGTAGCCAATTAAGATACAGGCATGCTGGCTTGGCCTCCATCATATTGCACGTGGAATATTGCCCAAAGTTAGATACACAGGATAGGCAAATTTGGAATCTGAGAACTGCGTCAATTATGTTTTGTCTGTAGCAATTATGACTGGTGAAAGAGCTGCTCCCTTAGGTAGACGTGCCTGCACACATAAGAGTCAACATTCAAATAAAATTAATATCCAGTGTAATACTGACCTGGATTGCATGCCACCACTTTCCAGTCCACATTTCATTGTAAATTCTATTTTCTTTCTGTGCATTACTGAATATCTTCTTAGGTTTGTAGACAATGTGTTTTGCATGGGCTGGGTTGTCAAGGAGGCTACAAATGGCAGAAAGGACATCATGGTAATGGATTAGATGCTTGTCATCAGGGGCATCTGGGAATAATAGTTTTTGACGTCCAATCAGCTCTGGATGGAATACCAGAGTCAACTATCTTGTGTAGCCCTTTAATGTTGTGATAGGACAATCCCTGTCTCTCTTTAACCTGAAACAATAGCTTATTTAAGGAGATCCAGGAAGTGAATAGAATAAAGACATATCCCTGGAATAGCTAACAAATGGTCAAACAATTTGTGACCTATTCCATCCTAGATTGCCCAATAGGCAACTTGCCAGTCTGTTTCTGATGCAAATAGAAATAACCTAGCATCCTGTGGTGCAGAGGCAACTGGGAAATTATTATCCATATCCACATCCCCATAGTTGTCTTCAGCCCCTCTTGCCCCTTCAAACTCTTTTCTCCATCTCTCATACAAAGTATAGTCCATACATATTATCTGACCTGCTGTAGGGTGGAGAATTTCTACATGCTCATCATCATTATCATTCAGAGAAATGGCATTTGGATGATTAGAAGGACCCGCTGCCTCCCCTGGCTCCAGATCCTCCTGTTCAGGTTGCTTGAGTGGGATAAATGCAAATAGATCTTCTTTAATATCTTCTATGGCATCTCCAATGGATTCCTCCTGGAATGGATGTGGAGGGCCATAGGGGTTATCTAGATTTTCTTCCACTAGCAATCCTTGCCTCTCCAAGTCGCCATTCTGCTGGGTTAGGATCTCTCTCAATTTACCCTTGCGGTACCAAGCACAGCTTCTTGCAGAGCCAAGGTGCGTATTGCGGCACGGGTGCTGGAAAAAGATCTGCCACATGATGCTAGGCATGGGTGAGGAGTGTTACGGTTGACAAGCATTTTGTTAGGTTGGAGAATGAGGAACAATGAATGCTACAGAGAACTCAATTTTACAGACATCAAACAAGGTCACATTACAAATACATGACTATTTAGTACGAGGGCACTTAGAATCTGCAATATCAGAAGCAAGAAACAAAGACAAGGCATTATGACGGTGTTTAAGAGATTGGAGAGTAACAGCTTGCAGACGATTAGATGCCTTGACTGCCTGAAGAAAGGCCTCCTCAGATCCTTCCACCTTCCATTGAGTTGAATTTCCTCTAGAGCTTCCCTGAGGATATTGAGAACATTGTCATGGGAGACATGCAACAATACAAAGAATGGTGGTGGACCTGCCTCTACAAACCTCTTTGAGAGGAACAATGTGGACCCAAACCAAACCTTGCAGAGGCGCTTGAAGTAAGGGATCATAAAGGGAAAGTATTCAGATACATTGTTTTCAAGAAACAAGCTGAGACTATCGACTCTGCCAAAGGTCTGATACTTGTGGAAAGCAGCGTCAGAGCGGGTTAACATTGAAGTGAACTCAGAATTTAGCCATTTCTTGATGTCGTCCTTTTCTTTAGCATCTGCATCTTTCATCTCATACGGCTTTACCATCAAGACACACATGGCCAGCAATACGTAATAGAACAATTCCAGGTTATGATGGGCAGTGTGTCAAATCCAGTCACCAGGCTGTGCATTTTGCACTTCCACCGCCATAAAAGGCTCTGTCCCCTGTAAAAAATACATAAAACAAAATAATTGAATGATGGCCAATATAAACACTTACTGTATGCTCAAGAACATGATTTCTATTACCAACCTGCCAACCCTCCTTACTCAACTGTTGTATAACCTAATCAAGAGTACCCTTTGCAACATCTAACGTCCACTCAGGTTGATTATGATGTAAAAATAAATCCGAGGAATAGACACTCTGGTCAGAGCGGATTATTTCTTCCTCGTGGTTAACAGTGGATAGCATGGACTTCACCAACTCTTGCAGCTTCTGGACATCACCAGGATTCAATCCAAAATAGTGGTCATCCTGGTCTGAATCTTCAGACACATCATCTAAATGTTCCTTTGAGTTGTTTGAATGATTATTTGAGTTGTCTGAATGCTCCGCTAACTCTTCAGTATCTTCAAATACAGCTGCAAATCCCCAGTCTGCAAGTAAACCCCTCTGTATGTGAGTATCGGGAGGTGCACATCCCTCTGGAGCTTTCAAAGGGGGCCAGTCAGGCAGTGCTTGATCCACAATAAGGGAGTTATTGATTGAGCCATCCTGGTGTAAGACTTTCACAGGAACTTGGCCTGAAACAGAGGTTGCCATTGCCATTTTGTGACCTAGTTAATGTTAGCATAGACAAATAAATGGTGGGTATGATACTCGCTTTTGATGAAATCAATGATCACAACAAGGAGCTCCTCTAGGCAATTAAAATCTGTTATAATTGCACCAGCAGGTGTAGTCATTGAACAAATGTGAACACGCAGTTGGTAAGGGTGGTGTGGATGAGCCAAAGCTCCGGCCTTCTCCTTGTCTTTCAGGGATAATGTGGAGCCAAGGGCATCACAAATATTGGATGTGGAATTATATTCTGGACTTTGGCTTGATTGATCATGATGGGCCCATTGCTTTGAGCTGCAAACTTTCTCTTCACAAATGAGACATGGGACTCCTTTTTCTCCTTTTACTTCAAGCAGGCAAATAATTATACCCTCAGTAAGATGGCGGCAAGTATCATGCCAAGTATCCTTCACTGTCAGATTGACACCTTTTAACCACAATATCTATGGGTCGTCTGATCTCCTCAATATAGGTATTTGTGCTCGCCTGACTACAGGTTAGCCCCAGTATTGTAGCCCAAACACTCGTCTGAGCCATGGAAAAATCCAAGGAGAAGGTGAAGGAAAAGTGTTGGTTGCTGGTGAAGATTGAGTTCAAACATAATGATTGAGCCACCCTGACCCATGTAGAGCAAAGTAAAGGAAGAACCCCATATAGAAAGACCTTAAAAGTGTATGAGATTAATAGGAGACTAGACAATAATGTAAGAAGTACCTAGAGTGTAGATATGTCAATCTTGTGCAGCCCTAACAAATGACAATCTTCCTATAAGCTGTTTGTGTACCTTGTCAAAAGAAGCTTTATTTTCCTCTTGGTCCTTGAGCTCGCCAAGACTGTTGGCATTTCTCATACTTGCAGGAGGGAGCTTAGGGGGATAAGACATATCACTGGAGGATATGAGTACAAGACCTGGGCGGCGCCTTCCACCAGCATCACCGGACTGCCTGGACAGCATACGCAGAAGTACACTATTTGGACCTCTTGAAGGTGCCGGAATCCACAAGCTGATCAACTTTGTGAACCAGATAGAAAAGAAAATCTGCATACTCTTCTTCTGAGCCAGGGCTCCATGGTTTAGTCAAATCCGGGCAGGAACTTGCAGCAGTCAACTTCCCTGACTCAGACGAGTAAAGCCCTTACTGTCGAAGGCATTTGAAGGCAGTAAACAAGGGGTTTTCTTGAGGGAGAGCACCTGGCGTAGATGGGAAGAGTTCAGATAGGGGAAATAGGATGTGGAGCATGTCTTCAAGGGCGCAGTAACTCTTCAAGGGAGCTGCCTCTGCCTTGATAAGGTGGTTCATAAAGGTGTGATAATATTGCTTAAATCCTTTAAATAGGAAAGTGTTGAACTGGAACAGGGATAAGTGAGAGAGAAATCAAGAAAATAATGGGATGGACATACTTTGGGTTTGGTTGGTGGGGTACCGTGGTGTTGGATGGGAAAACCTTCCAAAGAAGATGGGTGCTATTGGAGTATAAAGTTAAAAATTATGGTGCAAACTAACAATATACTTACATTAAGCATGGCCATGGCAAGATTCCTAGGAGAAATGTTAATGATGGGTGAGCAACACAATTTTGATACTTAGCAGCAAGCTGACCCTGACGGAGGCCCATGGAAGCCATACTTCCTTGAGCTGGAACTTGCAGGCATAGGTAAGTAAGGTGAGATAAAATAGCTATGTGCCCAAAAGTAGGAAGTGATCGCCTTGTTGAGCACTTCTTGCTTTTGGAGGGGACATGTGATCACACATTTTCCTAAAATGGAGGTCACTGGGATATTTGCACACCTTCCTAAAGAGGACGTTGCTCAGATGCTTGCACACCTTCCTAAAGAGGATATTGCTTGGATGCTCACATACCTTCCATTTATGGTCAGACCAAGAATGGCAGATGCTCAAACATCTGCTTAACTGCCTTTTTTGGTTATCCCAAAAAATGCTATCCATATCGGAATATGAGCTGCTGGCACGTGCACTGAGCATGCATAGGAATGACCTCATGCATCTGGTGGAAATACGCATGGTATCCAAGACTTACCTGAAGGCCTGGTCAACTTTCAGAGCAACTTATCAACATTTCTATCATACCCATTGATTTTGTCTGCATTGCCAGGTGAGCTTTCAAGTTTGATTTCTGATCTGGCTATCCTCAGCTGAAACTATATATTTGTCAGTCCTATCTGAATCCAAGTTATTGTCAGGTGAAACCTCACTAGGTATGTTTACATTTTTCTTTCCAGTTCCTCTTTGGAGAGCCAACGGCACCATCCAATACTATAACTAATTTAATAACCTACCTAAAAAGCAATCAGCACTACCAAACATGCTTCCCTGGTTGGACGAGTCTCATCTTTCTACTGGCACTGATACACTTCAAGATTCTGGCTCTGAATCAATCAACCTACCCAATACCAGCATTCCAAAAAAAACTATTATGGCTTCCAAACAAAGCAATCAAGGGAAATCCAGAGCAACAAGACAATAAACTCAATGACCTCAAGACCTGGCACCAGCTTCTGAGCCCCATTGCCCTTGTCCTAGGGGTGGTATTACTTTTGCACTGCAGCGTCAGGGTGGCAAAGGTACATGGCGACAATGAAGTAGTCCCTGGATCAACACAAGCGAGAATGTCAATGCCATCATTGCCACTCTTTCATTTGCTCGTTGGGGCTCTGACACGCACAACCCAGAAGCTTGGCTCCTGAACGTCACGTCTGCAATCCAGGAGGGAGCATATCTCGATGAAACACTTATGTCAGTTGTTGCTCGTTGCAAGGGACTTAGTGGCAAGGACATAGCCGTTAACTTTCTTCTGATGGTCAACCTTATGCAGCTTGTCACAAAATGTCAAAGGTAAGTACACTTGTCTTTCTCTCATATTCAATATTCTTCGCTCATATCTCAAATTGTAGTATCAAAATACGAATAGGTCTGTCTCTCAATGGAATATACAATCAAGAAATTGTGCATCTGTCCAACAAACCCAGCAAAAGGATGTTCTAAGACTGTTACAATAACACAATTTTCGGACCTTTCCTTTAATTTTCATTCTCCGCTTTAACCTTTTACTATAGTTCACACTCCGTGCCATGCGGCACTTTCCTTTTTTGTTCTAACTCCACCTTCTCGCGCAGCGCTACCTTTATTCTTCTTTTAGACACAAACTCTCTTACACAGTGGAGCTGGTCATACGGGCTGCGCCCTCTGACATCATCAGCCACTGCTTTTATTAACTGTACAGTACATAGGTACAAACACTCTGTATCAGTATAAATACCCCAATAGATCAAGGAGACTCCTCAGCAAGTCCTCCTGTTGTATACCAACAAACTCTCTACAGCTTAAGGAGTAACCACTCCCTCATCACTACCTTTATAGTGTGTTCTTGTGTGCGCCAGAGTAACTAACTCTTGGTTGTTACAAAGACTGGTATTCCACTAGAAGCAAGTTTGCAGCCCTTGCTGGTGGAGGCTCCATATAGTTATTAGTACTTATTGCCGGTCTGGGTCTTCGTGTTTCAGTTGCTGCCATGGAGGGCATTTCACCATGGGACCTTGAAAATTTGCTAAGAATGCCAAAAAAAAATAAGAATTAAAGATAGTCGCCTCTTGTACACCTCTGACAAGCTTTAAAAAGGAACCATTGAGGGAAATTTAATTATTGACCACATCATTCCTACTATCTGTCACATGTGCCTCTTTTTGCCCATTAGCATGGCATCAATGTCCTCCCCGGCTATACTTGCGGAGGATCAGCTAGCCAATGAATTTGATTGCACAAATATCAGCTCTTCAGACCATTTTTTTAAATTCTGTTATCTTCAAGTGCGTGCTATAGTTTTTAGCTTTATTGAAGTTTAATAGGATATCCTTGCTAATGACAATATACCTAGTAACTTTGTCTTACTTGAGCGTGACTGCGTTGCCTGGCAGTCTTGCTACACTTCCACTATTTACGCTGGTAATCCAGCTATCCCTCTGCACCAACTGGGTTACAACATGCTTGCACCACTGGAACACTCATTTTTGAGTAGGCCGTACAGTCTCCCATTGACTGACATCAATGAGGAAGAGGACTATCCTCTTCCCAACACCTATCTATCTTGCTTTCTCAGCGAGAAAAACACCACCACCATCCCTACATTGTATAATTATTCTTTGGCTGCAAACAAAGTCTTTCAGGCAGAACATGATTACAATGTCAATATCCTGTGGACTGAGAAGGGAAGGGAACAAGCAGTGAAGGGCCATGTAGCAACAGACACTAATGACTTGCAAACACAAGTATGTGGCTACACATTGGGAGCCTTATCCAATCATCCACCTGAGTTATTGCTAGCTTCAGTCTCTGTATCAAGACAGTGTAAAGGCTACATGTGAGATGTACCTGAGGATCCCAGCAAATATCATTTTGGGGTAAGTTCATTGTACACTCAAGTGTTCCGTGCCTTGTCAAACTTCTTGATATCAGCCAATCACTCAATATTTGCAACTCAGACGACTCCCTCATGGTCTTTGTTTGCACATCCCTCCTTGCCTATATCTGCTCATCACTACAGCAAAAGCTCCTGGCTGCATTTGAGAATAATCAGCTGCTTACTGAGAAGCCTGGTCAACATGATGAGGATGACATATTTGAGGCGCTACACTTTTCCTGGTACAACCGTCACTGCACAAGAGTAAGTACTGATACAGCCATGTTATTCCTTTCCAGCTGCCCGCTAACTTCCTTGAAAACCAGGGAGATGATGCTCCAACTGAAATTTTGCCTCTCATGTTAGAGAGGGAAGATGGACGTTGTACCAACTATTCCCAGATGATCCCTTACCTGTCCAAGGAAATCAAAGATCACAGCACTATTTACCAGACTATCAAAGTTGTCTTTGCAGACCTATTCTATTGGATCCATGATGTGGTAAGCTTCAATATAGTACATTATTGTGGTATCTAATCTAATAATCACTCTATTCACAAGATTGAGCTCCAGCTGCCTGAGGAGTATGAGCTATTGGCTGAAGTTGCATCAATTTTTCCTGGCAATAACTCATCTCCAATATTCCCCTTCCTTTCACCGGTGATTAACCTCAATGTCTCTACCAAAGGTCATTGAGATAGCAAAGACAAGGACTTCTGTCTTTTCCTTCCTATTGGTAATTTCCAAGGTGGAGCCCTTGTCATGGTTGAAACAGGTCTGGTCTTGGAATTAAGGCAAGGTGACTTCGCCATCTTCAGATCTTGCGATATTACACACTTCAATCTGCAATACCAAGGCAAGAGAGCATCTTTTGTTTTCCATACTGACAAAGAGTTCTCTTCATGGGCAAAGAATAGAAATGGATGGGCAGACAATGTAGTTTGAATAGCTTAGTTTTTTGCACGTCTTTTCTTTGTGAAGTTAGTATACTTTCAGATGCTCCCATGCCAAAATTTGATGTGTGGTAATTTAACCCTCCCTACAAATTGCAGGTCCATTATCCTCCTTATACTACTCATGGCTAAACAATCTGCTTCTAGTAAAACCAAATCTCAGAAGGGTAAGATTACCATAGATGCTGGGGAGTATGAGAGGCTTAAGGAAGTTGGGAAAGCTCAAACTAGGGCTGCCAGCAAAGCAGCTCAAAAGACATTTCTGGAGAGACAGCATCAAGGTATTTGTTTTTTTAAATCTCCCATAAAATACTATATTCTACTAATGCTATTTAGAAAACCTGAAATATACTGCTGATACTCTTGAGGAAGAGGATGAGGGGGAGGATGCCCCACTGCCACCCTCCCAAAAGCGTAGGCATAGGAGGGAGGTAGTAGATGACCAGGATGAAGAGAATGATAGTAACATGGTCCAGACTCCACCTTTAACTCAATATAGATCCTGGAGGCTTATAGATCATAAAGATGAAAACAGGGGTGGGGATGACAATACAGATACAGAAGAGTTTATGAACATTGTCAGAGGGGATAGTGAACAAGAAGGTATGATTCCTTTATCTTGTATATCAAAGTTGTCTTTTATATAACAAGTATAGAGGAGGATGATGGCAATCATTCCCAGATGCAAGGCAGAAAAGTGAGTATATCTATCTACTCTGAATAAAAGGTAACATCTTCACATATGTATATAGGACGCACAACAAGCTGGTAATATTGGTGAAAGCACTAGCACACCATCTTGTTTGCCATCTGCAGCTCTTTCTATTCAACCTTCCAGTCGCACATCAAGCACAGCAATGGCTAGTGTATCTTCATCTTCTGCTATGACTAGGAAGTGCAAACCTACACCAGCTCTTTTCCCTCCTTCTTTGGCACAGCTAGCTATAGAAGCCCATACTCATATCTGTCTTCATATTGCAACAAATGAAGGATTCCCGGCTTCCAATATATGCTCTGATATCTCATCACAAATAATCACCCAAAGCTCCAAGATTAGCAACAGCTTTGAATCCAAATTAAGGGAAGTTGAAGAAAATGAAGCTTTGGAAATCTTCATAATGGATTATGTGAGTGTATTCTTTCATTGCCGTGATTTGGTTTTAACTCTTGTTTAAATTTTTAGGTATGGTCTGCTGGGCCCCAAATACGGGGAGAGGTTGTTGCCAAGGCCAGACTCATAACCAATAGTGCATATGGTATCCCAGGGGATATGTCTCCTGAAGAAATCAAACTTGCTGTTCAGTGGTTGATTGATACATGCATGTTTACTGATGGGGACCTTGATATCAAAATGGGATTATTTTTTTTTCATTGTATTACAACTTATGGGTATCAGGGAAGAACCTATAACAAGCAAAAACTATTCTCAAGCCCTATTTTCAAGGATCTCATAAGGAAGAAAAGGTGAAGGAATTAGGTACGCACATATTTTCAAAGGTATTCCTCTGCCTCTACTTGCACTGGTTGCCTCTGCAGTATGACTTCTTCTTCCTACTCTTGAATATTTACTTACTTATGCACTAGGTTGAGTGTGCTCTTAGAGCCTATAATAGTGGTGGTAAGAGCTTACAAGATTTTTCAGAGAATATGTTCAAAGCTAGGTGAGTTCTAATCACATTTATAATAGTTCTGTCTAATCTTATTAGTAGATGGGGATTCTACTTTGAGAAGCTCTCTACACTCCAGAAGTGTTGCCCTGGTTGGATGACTCAAATGAGGAATAATCTTTACAAAAGCATTTTGTAAGTGATATATATCTACTGCCTATCCCTTAGCTAATGTGAAATATATATATAGACAATCAGCCAATTTTCAATATCTTAATCAAAAACCTCAAGACAAAGATTATGGGATTGACTTTGATGCTTTAGAGGAAACTATGGTAGCATAAGTACTCTGTTAGTAGTTAAGTCTATTCATAGTCTAGATTGTTTGATTCTTTTAATGATATTGTGCATTTTTGATATTGCTTTTGATATTACACATTTCTTGCATTACCCTTGAAATTATAATGGCAATAAATGTCCAAATAATTGATCCAATCTATAGGCACATATGAAACAAGGTGAAAGCTATAAGACTTGTATTATAGCTATTTTTTCTATTAAAACTATAAAACCTAGGCAAAAGCTATAATCAGCTGGCTTGACTCTAAAAGTAAAAAAAGATCCTCAACATCTATAAAAGGCTATAATAGTTTTTGGTCATCTATAAGAGCCTATATGTGGCTCTATAAATGCCAGAGGTTCTATAACAGGTCTGACAGTTATGACAACTTTATAAGTACCTATAAGCAAGTATGGATCTATATTTGCTTTATATAGCTACCCCCATTTTTTCTGATGTGCAATCAATACCTGTTGCCATAATTGTTTGTTTGTCCCCAAGGATAGCTCTTTGGGGGGGGGGGGGGGGGGGGGTTGGACACTATTTGAAGTGATAAACCAGTCCCAATAAGACATTATGTTGGCTGATGCACCAGAATCCACAAGAATCCACAATCCAGGAGTCATCGCTTGGCATATGAGGTGTGATGGGCACTGATAGCTTGGCCATAAAAAGGTGGAGAGGTTCTTCTTCTATAGTCTGTGCTATTTTGGCAGTGAGTTCATTTTTCTCTTTTTCTGCCATTGCTTTAGTTGCCTCATCTGCCTTCTTCTTTTGAAAGTCCTTTTCAATGTGACTTATTTTTCTGCAGCTAGGATAGGTGTATTTTTCTTTCTCTTTTTGGTCTCATTGTTTTGTTTAGATTTTGACAAGTTGGACAGTTTAGTTGCAAGTGCTGTATGGGTATTACTTGCCTTTTATGACTTCTCTTCTTTCAAGACCTGAGTTATGACAGTGTTTGTCAATAGTTTATCCTCAGTTGACATTAGGATAGTGTGGAGAGTTGAGAATGAGGCTGGAAGTGATATCAACATTTCTACTGCCACTAGAATGTTGTTAAGTGATTGCCTTAGGGAGGCTACCATGTAAGCTTTTTGTCTCATGCTCTTTAGTTGCAGCTCCAAAGCTGATTCTTCGGTAAGGTTTCCACAAAATAGTTCTCCAATAAGGTTTGTTGTTGTTTGTTTTCCTATACCCTTATACCGGTTATTGAGCTGGGTCCACACCTTCTTTGCATTTATTAGATACAAGGCTCCATTTAGCGGTTCTTTGTCCCTTTATTATGCTGTCTCCATCCAGCTTGTTCCATAAACACAGAGTCCCCTGGGTCCACATCTGTTCCTTCAATGATTCCGAGTAGTCCTTGGATATTTAACACCACTTGGATTTGGTACTTCCATACTTGAAAGTTTGATCCATCATTTTCAAGTGATAGGATATTGTATAAGCAACTTGATCCATGTAACATTTTATTTGATACACTTGCTGACAAAGTCATTGTAGTAGTGTATCCAGGTGAGGAAGTAGAGGGTGTGGGGTTAGGCATCTTTATTTTAGGAAATGATTTGCGATGAATGCTAATGAGCTCAGGTGTTTTAAGGTTGTGCAGGGCTCATAATCTATTGTCTGATAAAAAGAGACAATAGCTATGAAGTAGTCAGTAAACTAGTCTGTAATGTAGTTCTACACAAGTTACTCACCTCAGTCTGAGTATTTGGAACTGACATGGCAGCAAGTGATGTAGCTGAGTATATCTACTGTATTATGTAATAGATTCCCACCAATCCTTTTATGCAATGAAAAAAAAAAAGTAAAAAACAACAAGTTCTCATTGTAACTAGATCTTTATCAATTACAGGTCATAAGTCCTGCATCTGACAACAAAGAAACCTGTCACCTTGAGAAAGATACCAAAGCTAGAGGCTGATGGGTTGAACTGGTCAGTCTACCACACACACCTCGAGTAGGCTTTAGCAGATAGAGATTGTGTCAAGCATCTCTTAGGAATAGCATATAGGCCAACACCCACACCACACATGGCTGTGCAGAATGTGCAGGCCAGCCCTGGGATGATTGCCCCTCCCGTGTTGAGCAAAACGGACCAAGGTTCCCTAAATGCATGGTCAAAGAAAGAATATTGCGCAAAAAATATCCTGGGATGCATGGTTTCTGATTTGACACTGCAACAAATCCTCCACAAGGACACAGTGGTGGAAATGTGGGACCTAATCCACCAGGAGAACAAAAACAAAACAAAACTCATTCAAGCTGAACTACAAGACAAATTAGCTGCATTGCACTGCCCCAAAAAAGGCAATATGCATACTCACATAGACAAGATAAGGGATATGTGGGAGCAACTCAGTGCAGCTGGAGTGTACCTCACTGACAAAGAAAAGGCATTGAACATGTTGCGCTCCCTCTCATCCACTTGTGCAATATTTGTGTCCCAACTGTCTGTCTCAGCTCATATGAATGGCAAGAGCATCAATCCTGAGACCCTGATTGTAAATCTCCTGCAAGAATATGATTGACTCACTATATCGACCAAACAGCCAAACTTGAAGAGCACCAAGACAGCCATGTTGGCAACTACATTGTCAAAATGAGGACATTAAGGTGCTCAAGGTTGAGCGCAAAAGGAACGAGACTCACCTAGAGACAAAAAGGAAGAGGGAAAAGTGGGGGATGAAAAGGAAAAGAAGCCAAAGAAAGCAAACCTTACCATCCACGTTAAATGTGACAGTGCAAGTTTATCCAATTTCAAAGAAGAAGGTGTATGGAGTGCCCTCACTCACCAACTTGCTATGTCTGCAAGACCCAAAGGCTAATTGAACATTACAACTCCGGAAAACATGATGTGGCTATAAATACAATAAAGTGCAAGAAATATGCTATAATAGCAAAAATATCACTCAGGCCAGTTCAGATTATAGTATAGAAATTGCCTATAACATAAAAAGTAAAATATATCAAATTCACCCCAGCTATATATGACCTTGCAATAGATTGATATAATGACTCTAATTCCTCTATACACCATTGAAAGTTAACTAGATTAATCCAGAGCATCTCACTTCCACTCATCTTCAAAATGTAAAAACAGTCAAAAATATTAATGATTTATAAAAGCGAAATATATAAATGACAGCTACAAATATATGAGATTACTGCTTGAAAGTCCTGACTGCCTCCTCTAAAGCATTAAAGTCCAATATGAGATGGGAGGATTCAGACAAAGCCAAAGTACTAGGACCACCATGTAAAATTTGAGAGAACGAAAAAATAGAGCAAACAATTCACCATACAAACTCCCCAATATTACCAAACATATTTGTCAGATATATTGGGGACCATTCCCTGAACTCTTGAATTAGATTCATATAATGCTCCTATCTATAAATTAAATGAGACAAATATATAAAATAACCAGAAAACAAGTGGTACAGTATCTTGGAGCAAATGAATTCTGAGAGAATTCTACCCATTCTATTGTTGATAGTGCCAAGTAAAGCATATACAACCTAAATATATGGTTAAATTTATGAATAAAAGAGTGAGAAAAACCTTACAGAGCATGCTACAAGGGCAAGTGCAGGGGAATTATGGAGATATGGGTTGTCTTTTTTGCCATATTTCCTTCCTTCACCTTTAGGTCCCCACCACTGACTTTGAAAGAGTGTTTTGAAGATTTCATTTTTCCATGGATGTATAACATCACATGTTCTCTCCGAAATATAACTCCAAGCATAAAAAAGCAAATACCTATGTGCTTACAGGGGCATGTATTAATAGAGGAGATGGTGTCTTCAATGGAGTTCTGGAAATTCTTTTAGCAACCTGTCCCTCTGTCTTTTTCCAAGTCGCCCTAGTCACCTTAATAAGATGTTGAACAACATAGACAATTACAAGGGAAAGAACAGCCAATAAAAAAGCTAATAAAAAAGCAAAACACAAAGACTCAACACATAGACTGAAAAAAACAGCATAAACAAACCCAATATGGACTCACTCACAAACACATGTAGGCAGATGGCTATTTGGCAATTGTAAAATACCGCTCAAAACAGGAAAAAAAAAGTTCTAGCTGAAACTATGTGGTATTAAAGCAAAGTATACACTCCAGTTCATTTTGAGCCAAAGAAAGAAATGCTATGGAGACCGTTGTTGTGGTCCAAGTTGTTGTGCATGGCTAGAGGGAAGTTTCTCATGGTCTCAGTGTTGTGTGGCAAGGGGTGCAAGGTGCAGGAAACTTGCGCCATTAAAATAGTGAACATGATTTCTTGCGCTCTTTTTTACTCACCTGTGAGGCTACAATGCCTGCCTTCAAATATATGTTTCTGTAACCTCATGTTACAGATCTGCACAACTGATGCCTTTCAAATGGATCAGGCACACTAAAGACATACCATTGGCAGTATTATTTGTTACAATAAACATACCAGCACCTATTTTTGCTTTACTTTTTCTGTACTTTTACTTTTCTTTTTCTAAGTCATATGACTGATCACGTGACCATTTATTTTACTTTTCAGACTTTTTATAGTCACATGACCAATCATGTGACACATCACCTGACCAGTGTCTAGACTCACCACGTGACTGGTCACATGCTGGACATCAGACTTTAAACTACATTTACAACTATACAGTATCTCATGTATTATAGTATATATACAGGAGCAATACATGGGGAAGGACTCAGCGAGTCCTCCTGTTGTCTACCAACAACTAACTTGGTTGCACCTTGAGGGGAAATCCCTCCTTCTCTTTACTCTTTTGAGTGTTGTTTTTGTTGTGCTCTAGTGCCCCAAGACTGTGTCTTGTTGGTGTTGTCACATAGACATACCTGATATGGATGACAATGCACCTCATAATGCACCTGGCCCTGTGGATCCACCTGATCCCCAACATGATCCCCATCCTGCACAACCACCTCTGGTTCTTCCACTAATAGCCCCTCATTGCAGTACACGCCTTTGTCAGCCGGCCCAATATGTCCACAATTTGCTACAGGGAGAAGGATCAATAACTGGCACAAATCATGCACAAGCCTTACCAAAGGGAATGCAAAGGCCCACTAATGATGAGGTGCACAAACAGGCAGAAGTGCATGAACAGACAGAAGGTAGGATTGCAGATGAAACACTGAGGGAACTGGCAACCAATGTGGCTATGATAGCCCACATGGCAAATTTTGATGGCATTGAACCAAGGAATGCTGAAGAAGCCAAGAAACATCATGATTGGGACAAATGGAAAGATGCAATCAGCGAAGAATTAAACAGGCTTTAGACAGCAACAATGTGGGCTTACATTGATAAACCTAGAAATGCATATGTCATAGGGAGCAAATGGGTGTTCAAAGTCAAAAAAACACTGCTGGAGGCATCAATAAGTATAAAGCCAGACTTGTTACACAGGGCTTCAGTCAAGTCTAAGGAGTCAACTATTTTGACACTTTTGCACCTGTCACAAAAATGGCCTCATTGTGTATTGTACTAGCAACAGCCGCACAACATAACTGGGAGATCCATCAGATGGATGTAAAAAGTGCTTACCTAAATGGTGAGCTTGGTGACAACAAAGTCATCTACATGCAACAACCTCCTGGCTATGTCATGCCTGGCAAAGAATCCCAGGTCCTCCACCTCAATAAAGCACTGTATCATCTTAAACAGGCAGGACAGTGCTAGTACCACACACTGTGTGACAAGCTAAAAATGATTGGTCTCACATGATGTGAATCAGACCATGCTGTTTTAAATCAACAAAAAGGGAATTAACTCACCATACTAGCAGTTCACGTTGATAAAATGATACTGATAGCACTGACACTAATCCACATGTGAGTCCTAAAAAGTGAGCTAAATAAACTATTCAAAGTTTGCAATCTTTGAGAGTTACACTGGATGCTTGGGATGGAGATTAAGAGGAATTGACACACCCAGACAATCCAGCTCTCCCAATAATCTTATCTTGATGCAAAGCCGTTTTCCATACTAATAGTTGCAAACAGCTACCTGACAAAGGAGCAAGCACCAAAAATGCCAGAGGAGTACTCTGAAATGCAAGATGTCTCTTACAGAGAAGCAGTCAAATCTCTAATATATGCAGTCATCACCACACAACCAGATATCCCACATGCTGTTGCCATAGCCTCCAGGTTTGTCAAGAATGTGGGTAAAGCCCACTGGGAGGCTGTCAAAAGGACAATCAGATATCTAAAAGGGACACATGAGCTGTGGTTGTCTTTTGGACCAGAAATGAGCGAACTTACTGGATATTGAGATGCCGATGGAAGCATGAGTGAAAACCATTGTTTGATCTCGGGTTACACTATGATGTTAAATGGTGGGGCCATTTCATGTTTTTGAAACAGCAAAAACTTGTTGCACTCTCAAACACTGAAGCGGAGTACATTGCAGCCACCCACACAACAAAAGAGTTGCTATGGATCAGAATGTTGATGGGTGAGATTTTTGGAAACAACTCACCAATACCAGTCCTTTTTTGTGACAATCAATCTACCATTGCTCTGTCAAAAGACAGCCAATACTATGCTAGGACAAAACATGTTGATATTTGATTACACTTCATGGTATCAATATGTTCACTAAAGCTCTACCATCCTCAAAGGCCAAACACTTCACTTTGGGACTTTTATATGGCTTGAGGGGGAGTGTTGGAAGAAGAAGATGCAAGGCCTTGAATAAACAAGCCTCCTACAAAGAGGAAACAGGTGCAGTTTCCAAACTAGGAGAGAGCTGTAGATTAGCTGGCCTGTGTGCTCTGATGGAGAAAATTTACCTTAAGATATACTCCTGTTCTCCCCTTTTAAACCTTTGTAGTTACTGTAGCACACCTTAGTCTTTCCCCCAAAAGCCAAGGTGAAAATATTTTGACAGATTAACTGTACTTACTTGTACACCTAGTTCTTGTTGTAACTAGATCTTTACTGATTATATTTTAATCATACTCTTCTCACTAGGTCCTCAAAATTCTTTGGAGTGAGAACAGTAGTGTGAATAAAGAAATCCTCAACTGTATCCCACCATACATTACAAGGTGTCATTTATCACGGGTGAGTATAGACAGACCAAGGAGCTTCTGCTGTAGAAGGCAGGGTCTTTAAAGTAACAAAGAATTTCTACATGTCCATACAATAGAGAACAGTGCATGAGCTGTCCATTCCCTGTCTAGTTAAGGATATAACTGCAAACTACAACCATCAAACTCTATTGCACTTTACACCCATTTTTCTTGATACACGTGAAACTTCTTTTTAATTTAGACTTTAGACTTTGGACTTTCTTCAACTCATACTTAGCATTTCACTAATTACTATTTTGACCTCAGTCTCTATTTACAAGACTGAGTCTTTTTTTTCATTCACTAGAAATACTGACTATTGCTAGCTCATCAGGTTATGAGCCCTGGTTACACCTTGGAAAAATCCTCACAAGCATCTCCATCCCCAAACTCAATAACAAGGGTACAAACTGGAACTCGTAACTTATTTTGAGTCTATAATTGAAAGTAAAGAATTACTGAGATTTCTCCAAGGAACTGCCAAACCAATACTAGACTTTAAAACTGACCCCTATGGAAAGATATTTCTAAAACACAATGGAAGTATAGCCACAGATGATCAAGTCGAAGCTAACAAGGAAAAGGTTGACAAATATAAAACAAAAGTTGCAAAAATCAGGAGGCTCATCATTCACTCTATTTTGGGTGCAATGCTAGGAAGGATAAAAGCAACAGCTAAATTCTTGGAACCCAAGAAGTTGTGGGTAGAACTATACAAATCACACAAAGGCAAAAGCAATATTGTCCAGTTAGACACATGGCCAAAGATCCAGAGACTTAGAGCCACAGATGAATCTGACATCCACAATCATGTCAGCACTATGCTTAGACTCAGGTCAGAGCCGGCATAGGAGGGTCTATAGCAAACCCACAATTTGCTGCCATGCTAATAGCATCACTGCCAGACTTGTACAGACTAATGCTCACCACAATCATGACCAATGTTTGTACTACCAAACAACCCCTGTCACCCAGTGATATTATCACCCATATTCTTGAGGAAGGCAACTATAGAAGCAGCCAATCCTCCATTGTGGATTCCCAATCAGCCCTCTCTGCTAAAGATAAGAGCACACGAGGCCAGCACAACAATTCTTGTTGAAAAAACCAAGTTGAATGCTCAGGCTGTTACAATTGACATACCAGCACCTACTTATGCTTCACTTTTTTGTACTTTTACTTTTATTTTTTTCAAGTCACATGACTGATCATGTGACCATTTACTTTACTTTACATGCTAGACATCGGACTTTAAACTTTATTTACAACTGTACAGTACCTCATATATTTTAGTATATATACAGGAGCAATACATGGGGAGGGACTCAGCGAGTCCTCTTCTAGTGTCTACCAATATTAGTATGGCAAGTTCCCTCTCTTATTGAGTTGTACACTTCCTTTCCTCCATTGAGTTGTAGTTGTTGTTGTGCTCCAAGTGCCCCAAGACTGTGTCTTGTTGGTGTTGTCACACAGGCTGTGGAAAGAAGGGATATATAATTGAGGATTGCTGGGTGAATAAGTGATTGGGTACTCAGAATAATGGAAACAAGAATAAAAACAATGACGGCTCAGACACTGAAGTCCCTAAAACATCCAAATCCAAACAAAAAGTGGCATTTAAAGCCACCAAACAAGAGGATTTGGATGACCCATCCGGAAATGAACTGTATGCACTAAAAGCATTAGATTATACCCATGCAAACAAAATGCATGCACCAGGCTTTCCCATAATAATTGACAAAATAGCCAGGGGACCTCCTCTAAATGCCCTTGGTAAAGGAGAAGTCATGGTCAGATTCCCCAATGGCCATAAACATTCAACAATCACTCTAAGAAATGTCTACTACACACCTGGAATGAATACCATTCTTGTGTTAGCCAGTCAAATTGATAAAGCAGGATATGGCATACATATTGAGAGAGGCAGTTGCCGGATTGTATCCCCCAACCCCAAACACAAAGTTATTGCTCTTATTCCAATAAAAAATGGCCTATATCAAGTTGACGATGTTTTGCCACTAAAGACTCAACTACATAGTGCAGAAAAAACTGCTGTAGTTATCAAACTTAATATTAACCAATTACATAAGGCAATGGGACACATTACTCACAGTTCCGTAAAACACTTAATAGATAATGGCATGGCCCTGGGTATCAATCTAGACAGATCAGTAGAGCAAAAGCAGTGTGACTCATGCTTGAAGGCCATGCCACCGAGAGTGCCATTTCCTAATGAGTCATATACAAGAGCAAAAGTGTACAAATATAGGACTTATGGGGACCAGCATCAACTAATGACATATCTGGAAAGTCATATATGGTCACTTTCATGGATGATTACACCTGCAAAGTTCAATCACAAATGCCATCAAGCAAAAACCAAACAATAGCCACATATGTACACTTTGAAAATTGGCTTTTCAATCAGAAAGATGGAGCCAAAATCAAAGCCTTACGCTCAGACAGAGGTGGAGAATACACTAATAAAGAGTTCAATAAACATCTAAAAGATAGAGGAACTAGAAGAGAACTCATGGTACATGATTCTCCACAACAAAATGGTGTAGCCAAATGTCTTAATCGAACTCTTATTGAACACGCTAGAGCCAACCTCATCAAATATAAACTCCCAAAGTTTCTATGAGCCAAGGCCGTCAGACATATTATTTAGTTGAAAAACCGCTCACCAACCCAAGCTCTCGAGGGCAAGACTCCCTATGAAATGGTCAATAATAAGAAGCCTGACTTATCTGATCTTCATGAATTTGGATGTAAGGCATTTGTAAAAGACAAGAATTAGACCCACAATTGAAAAGAGGGAGATTTGTGGGGTATGACACCCAAAGTCAAGGGTACCATATCTATTGGCCACAAAAAAAATCAATATCTGTTGAAAGAAATGTGAAAATCACATCTTTTAACAGAGATACTCCCATCAACTTAGCTCATGCGCTAGGCCCTTCAGTGGACCCTGGTCCCTAACTTGTCAGAGTGAATAGGTGAGAGTAGAGGATGAAAGATGGAGTGGAGTAAAGATCCTTTGGAGAAGGACCATAAAATTTAGAAGGAGATTTGAATCAAGGTGAGGGGAACTAGTTGATATTCAAACTGCAGAAACGGAGTATAAGAGCTACAGCTTGTATACTATTGGAGGGATTGGAGTTCATAAGGAGTAAGTTGTAATGTAGGTATGGAGTTCCATG